CGGGCCGCACCACCGCCAGTGCCAGTTGGGCGTCCGTTCCGGCCCGGCAGGCGCCGGTGACGCCGACGCCGACGCCGACCGACTCACCCCGTCGTCCTCCTCGATGATGTGCTGCCCGACACTGGCCAGCGTCGTCCACTTGCAGGGCGTCGACTCGTGCGCCGCGCACCGCTTGTGGCACTTGAACTTGCACACCTCGCAGCTGAGGCCGTGAGACGTCACGCCTGGAACGAGGGAGCCGTGTCACGCACCTGGAGATTGGGCGTGTCACGCGCCTGGGGACCCGGGGCCGCGCCCGCGACGGCCGGATGCTGCGCCTGGGTTCTGGAGCGCAGGGCGGCCAGACCCGCACAGGGGATGAGGGGTCTGATCTGCAGCGAAGGACTGGTCGTGTCTGGGGTGACACAGCAGAGGCAGTCCCTCCTGGGACTTTGGAATGAAGGAATGTCACGCCCTAGTCGCGGAAGGATGGTAGCGGGGGGGGGTACGTTTTTGACGGTCGCTACAGCCTTCACTTACCCGACCAGCATTGCAGAGGAGAGGGCACAAGAAAGACCAGAGAGGAGCGAGGAGAAAGACGACAGGGACAGCCTGAGGAGGAAGCGCGACGTCCATAAATGAGCAGTGCTTTCGCTTGGAGTTCAAGCGTCAAACTCGGTACCACCTGCGCAAGTCATTGCAGCGGTGCAAGAAAAGAGCGCCCGGCACGACAACGCGCAAACACCATACCCGCTTCACAGCACTTGTATCCTAGCCCTCGCAATGTCATTTCTTCTCCCCGTGAATCGGTGTAACATCGAAGTCAACACCGACAGGGTTTGTGACGTGAGTGTGCTGATTGCAGACAGGACGGAGCGCGCCACCTACGGAGAGCAGCACAGAGCGAGAGCACGTCCGGGGCGAACCCTGCTGAGCGATCCCACTCCACACGGGCAACGACCACGGCAGTCCGACTCGGGGCAATAACGCGGCGCCAGTGGCACTGTCACTGCGCGCATCGCCGAGTGTCGAGCACACCTGCTTGTTATGGGGAAAATAACGAGGCAGGATTCGTGGAGTTGTTAATTAGAATACCACCTACGATGAACACCAGCGTTGATAGACAGCGTGTTCCTTGGAGAAAAACCACGACGCACAGAATCTGACAATTGAATCATAGCGGCTTTGTTAAGCAGTTCACAAACTGGGCCTTCGCGGGCTGCAGGAGCAGCACCACAGGCCTATCAGCAGTTGCGCCACTCGTACGTGCTTCGAATGCTATGTAACTTTATCGACGAGCGTTTCCTTAGCAGATGAGCTGGCATTTCATCTATTCCGAGCTTTGTGTACCATTAAAAATATCCTGTCGTGTACGTCTACAGGCGCTAACAACGACCGAAGAAGACTTCCCCGAAGACCTCACTTCACGAACGAGCGCGTGACAAATCAACAACGCTACTGCCACCACTGCCTGCTGCGGGGGCCGAGACGGCTCGACGTCGACATAACATCAAGAAAAAGCTGGATTTTTACTTCTATCGGTATCCATCTGGCACGACAGTGCATCGCCAGTTTGCACTCAGTGTCCATTCATGCCACGAAGGCGAATGCCACGCACCGCTGACGGTTCTTCGGGTTCGCACTGGGTTTGCGCACCGCTATTTTTTCTCCACCTTAGCCGCCTTCAAAGACCATTTTTCTGGTGCATGCGTTCGAGTGAATCTAACGGCGGTTTAACGTGTCCGCATGTTTATCAGTCTGCTGTAACTTTTCCAATTCCCGCACTCGGCATTTGTAAAAGGCACGTGATGATGCTGTGATCCTAAAGACATCACTCCATCACATCAGGTTGAGATCAAAGTCCACAGCACCAGCTCTCCGGCCGCCAGATGATTGGTTGCGTTCTCATCTGTCAACCCCCTCTGATCGAGCACACATACGATATCGTTATCAGGAAAACTACCGCTCTCGGGGGACTCCCGCGCTCGGGCGCCTGCCAGACATGTGCGACATTTATCCCGCAGATCAATGCGACGCCGAAGATCGTGGCACACGGACGTCTCTACGCCTTGTTCCACGTAGGCATTAGACACATGACCACCTTGGCTTATCCCCCCCCCCCCCCTCTCCACGCTGTCAGCGAGATACAAAAACGTTTGATAGCAACACACCATCAGGGCGGAAAGCACTGTAACATCGAGTGTTTTGCGTGTCGCTAATGAACATTGCTGCCTGCCAGTGATGAGTATGTATAACGCGTGATGATTATGTCTTCATTGTGATATCAATGTAGTATGTTTCCGCTGTACCGGTATTACAAAAACTGATACATCTAGGCATGACATCTATGTTAGAAAAGTCAAGACATAGATAGCTCAAATCTTACAAATATGCGATTATATCGACTCTGCCGAGCGCGTCACCCCAAACAATGTTCAGCGAAGGACGAAACGTTGATTATTATAACAAATATCAGGTCATGCAACATGGTAGGCTGTATCTTTTTGGTAGCACGACCTTTGGTAGCATTTTATACGAACATCGACAGGAACCTGAAGCTATCATCATACTTACTGAGAAACATCCCTTAATATTACCAACGCTGAATCCGCTGAGATTGTAAACGAAACATGAGTTAAAAATAAACTGCTTCCTAAGTTTATATATGTACATGCATACACACATACATAGATATTATGGTTATATATTCATATATGGTTATATACCGTATTATATATACATCCCTCTCCCTCCCCCTCCGCCTCCCCCTCCCCCTCCCCCTGGAAAGAAAACTTTAAGTTTTCCATCTTCATGGAATAGGGGGGTGAAAGAGTGGTAACAAAAAAGAGTGAAAATTGAGGTGCAAGAGTAGTAAATTATACGCGCTGCGTCTAAACGTTGCAGCACACCCAAACTCATCAAACAGCCCGCATTAACAAATTGAAAATATTTCGGCACACCGCTTAAATAATTGTGATATTGTCGAAAATTTACGGCGGTGCGATTGCTCGGGACGGGCCGCTGAAGCAAAAACTCGCCCCGACTGAGGCCTGAGGCCGTAACCATCTAAACGCGTACAGAAATGATTAAAATGTCCTCCAGGAAACGGGACGGGTTCGAAAGCTCCAAGACAACCGCATTTGATTGAGCTGACCCTGATACGACCCAGTTAAAAAAAGGTTCTTGACATCACACAGCACAACTGAGACCTGCCAACAGAACTGAACAGGGTGTATCCTTGCTGCGCGCGGGGTCTAAATGTGTCCCAAAGTCGGCAAACATACAGTTTCTGCAACACCGGGCGCACTGGCCCTTTACAATGGCTCATACGATGGCGCCGCATTGTATTCAACGCCACCTTCGCCGCGTCCATTCATACTGGAACGGGATACGCCGCACGGCAGCATTCATCGCGATACATGCGAAGGCAATAAACCGCCTGAATGGAGCGAAAGCCCATCAGCTGAAAACCATACATCGCCGGCGGATGTACGGTGGTCTGTCCGTCGTACCCTGATTGCGTGCTGTTGTGGGGCGGATCTTTTGTAGCCAGCCATTCAGGTCAGAATTACGGCTCAATGCTCGCAGGGCCGCTAGAGTAAATGAGAATCCCGTTCCGTTGAATACCCATCCATGTCTCGCGGGTTGACCGCAGCGGCAACATCCGCTGCAGATTCTGCCGTGATCGCTGTCAGCTGTTGTGGGCTAGAGCTGCCACTTTTACGCACACGGCCCGCGGAACGCGAGAAAAAGAGCTCACATGTATGCATCTTCTCCGTAAACCGACGACCGCAGGATCTCCTGAGAATTGTGCAAACTTCAGCTGCTGCTGGCAAGAGTTACCACCTTTTGGCTAATTTTACCCGCACTATGCGGGACTGCGGGCGCAAATGCGGAGCCTCCAGTCCGCACCAGCTGAAGACCGCAAAGTCTGCAGTGGACTTTGTAGCCAATTTCAGAATGTGAACGGGATTATCCCCGCTCAGCGGGCGACCCTCTAGCATTCTTTACCAGACCACGTAGCCAATCGAGTGCATCATTTCAAGAACTGAAACCGCAAGTTGTAAAGGAAATGATGAACCCACAAACCACATATCGTGAGGTAACGCGCAGCAAAAGCGCAGGAACTGGCTTATAGCACCATCTTTCATCAAGCATCGGGACACTGGGAACCACAGTGAACCACACTTGAAATTCTGCATTGGCGCCGTCAGTCAATCTTCCAAAGGTTCTTTGGCAGATGAAAGGTGGTTCTTGTCTGATGAAATCAATGGAACCGGTGGAGACGTCACCCTCATGACGTCACGAAGAAGCGCTCGATTGGTCGCGGCGGGCGTTCGCCATCCGCACGGCTCCCGGTAGGCAGACGCGATGAACACACGGCTACTTGCGTCACAGTTCCAAATGCAACACCAGGGGGCGCTTGTTGGACGCGACCGCCGCGGAAAGCCTGAGCGAAAAACTCGGCGTAGGCGTGCGTCTCTTCTGAACCTCAACATCCGACGCACACCTTTCACAGAAACATGGCCGCGTTGGTGCAGCAGCTCATCTCAGCACGGCGGGGAATGACCGCGTGCGTGCACCGATTAAAAGCCTGCGCCGGCGCTCTGCCGGACAAGTGCTCTGATGCCGTGTCAGGGCCTGCGCCGGCGCTCTGCCGGGCAAGTGCTCTGATGCCGTGTCAGGGCCTGCGCCGGCGTTCTGCCGGACAAGTGCTCTGATGCCGTGTCGGGGCCTGTGCCGACGCGCAGTTAAGCCAGTGTTGACGCGTAGTCACTGCGCTATTTCGCTCCTCCCTTATCGCCTGTTGGTGTTCAGCACACATCCTGCCGTCCCGTCAGCTGACGCGCCTGTTGACTGAGCGCCTCGGCGCACGTCAACGGGGCGGGGCTGGGCGTGGCGCGACCTGGCTCCACCTCTCGCGATAGCGGTTCGCTTCCTAACTAAAGATCATTAGAGCGGTCCGCTCTCTAACTGAAGGTCACAAGAGCGGTCCGCTCCCTAACTGAAGATCAGTAGAGCGGTCCGCTCTCTAACTGAAGATCAGTAGAGCGGTCCGCTCTCTAACTGAAGGTCACAAGAGCGGTCCGCTCCTTAACTAAAGATCATTAAAGCGGTCCGCTCTCTAACTGAAGGCCACAAGAGTGGTCCACTCCCTAACTGAAGGTCACAAGAGCGGTCCGCTCCCTGAATGAAGGTCACAAAAGCGGTCCGCTCCCTAACTGAAGGAGAGGCAGGGCAAGAGCGAGCTACTTCCAATCTCTCACAGGCCTCTGCATCATTCAACAGTAGTTGTGGACAGGGTTAACCATGCTGACGCCGTAACACAATCTATCGTAAAGGGATGCATTGCGCTAATTTGATCGCCGAAGTGGCCGCCACCCCGAAACAGGATCAACAGCTGGCGGTGTACGCTGGAGGGCAACACTGTTAGCTGGTGACCAGATGGTAACCATGGTTTCCACACGCACCGCGGAGGGGATCGTGGTCGCCGCCAGTGACGTTTCACTCCAGCCGCTCCAGTCCGTGCTTACCTGGACGGGGCCCATAAAAATGGTTGATGTCCAAACGCAGGAAATTGCGGCGGTGTGCCCTGACCCACTGCGTGACTTCCATTTAGTCAGGAATCTGCATCCTCCTTTACGCGGCAAAGCCGCCGCGCAGTAGTGGCCCCAGCATGGGCGTCATGCGATATACCACGTACTAACGTCACCCCGTAGTACGTGACACTTCCATCACGGCAACGTTTCGATCCACAACACAACGGCCGAACACAGTTCCCAAAATTGACAATATTCCGATTCCTACGGATCTGTTGGGTTCAACAGACTGTGCGCTTAATCTGCGCTCGCTCTAGAAGACACCAAACTGGAAAACCGCTGTAGCGGACCCACTCTCCTTAATGCAGCCGTGTACCGCTCCTGGATACGAGTTGCGGAACATGCCACGGCGGACGTAATCCATAACAGCCGTCACAGAGCTCAGCAAAGGTCAGCGGAAAGCCCGGTCCCCCGAGCACCACCCCTGCGCTGTCGCCGGAGCGTGACGCTCAGGGGACGGCACGCCCGCTGTTGGGGCGACAGCGGCCATCTGAGCGCCGGCCGCGCTCAGGGGACGGCACGCCCGCTGTTGGGGCGACAGCGGCCATCTGAGCGCCGGCCAACTGGCGCGCGGGCCTTGCTTCCCAGCGTCCGGCGGCAGACCGCAGCACGCTGCGAGCGCGTGCGGATGATCACCATACTCTGGAGCGGGGGGGGGGGGGGGAGGGGACTCACGCCCCCAGCGTCCGGCGGCAGACCGCAGCACGCTGGCGAGCGCGTGCGGATGATCACCATACCCTGGAGGGGGGGGGGGGGGGGACTCGCGCCCCCAGCATCCGGCGGCAGACCGCAGCACGCTGGCGAGCGCGTGCGGATGATCACCACACCATGCAAGAGGGGGGGGGGGGGGACTCACGCCCCCAGAGCCAATTTCGGCTGCGTGCATAAGGTTACCCATGAGACTACAAGTCCGTGTAGCCGTCCATGGGCTATCTCCGCATTATTTCACTTCTGAAATACGCTTTCCGAAATGGCCGCTATTGCCAATATAGCCAACAAGCGCACAGTATCAAATCACTGAGCTAAGAGCGAGCGTCAGTACGTCCGCATTCATTGTTTTATCCCGGTGCACAGTACAAAAGACGAACTCGGCGCCCGAGTGTGTCAAAGAGCGCCGCGCGGGCAGGGGGTCCAAGTGAGCTATGAGCGCTGAGCGGCTTACAAATGTTCACAGTGACCCGGGTCATTGTTGGGGCGAGTCAATGTCGCGCCGTTGGTGGCGTCGTTGCCGACATCAGGGACGCCACCGCTTCGCGCAGTTAGAGCACAGTTACCGCAGACCCGCGCGACAGCCTTCGACGCGATCCATATCCACCTCGTTTTTAATATCCCGCCAAACCGCCTCTCCCAATCTCCAAAGCGCGCCCACGACAGCTCTCCAAGTGACACTCCCCGGCGTGCGCCGGAGGCAGCCACCCCTATTCATGGCCAGCGAACCACAGCGCGCCCCGAGCCGAACGGCGACCACGGCGCCCGTTGTCCGCACTTTACCTCGAGCTGGAGGCACTCGCGCTATTTGCGGCGGATGGGCCGGGCGCCGCGGGGCGCGTGGGGCCGGGCGCGCGGCCGCGGGGCGGGGGCGGCACGCCTGCTCTCTGGCCGCTGTCAGCCGGACATCGACGGCGCGCGGCGCAGCGGCAAAGCCACTCCCGATTCTGAGAGACGTGCGCAGAAGTTTTGATCGCAAGACTTCGGGACGTTTCCAGTTTGCAAATGGCGGCGACCTGCACTTAAAATAGCCGCAAAATCCTCCCGAGGATCAAGGAAGTTCTCCTGACAGCTTACTGGGAGGCTTTAAAGGAGCGGCTGTTCACAGAAGCTGGATTTCAAGAGCACATTTTTATGACTCAGTGACCCAATTAGACGAATCGGGTGCAGTAAATGCGCATCACGATTGTGCACTCCGCCTAAAGTACTGTCTTTGATAATTTCATGACAGCCTTTGGTATTTCACTTGTGCGCAATGCAACTCAATCCTGTTCCCGACAAAAAGTCTTTCGATTCTTCTTTTCGCTGCTCCATGCCCTCGGGCACAGATCAGGACTAACAACGAGCAACAATGGGGCTGAGGCAAATAACTAAAAAAGAGCATGGCATGACCACGGCATGAGATGTACCTGATTTAACTGCGTCACGGACTAGCAGGACTATTGGATCACGAGGAAAGACCACTGTCAAACATAAAAACTGTAAGCCCGACATCTTTTCGCTATATCCGTAGCTAAGGGAACCACTCAGTCAGCGCTCCCAGAGCGGCCGGCGGCCGCCGGGCGGCCCCACTCAGTCAGCGCCCCCCAGAGCGGCCGGCTCCACTCAGTCAGCGCCCCCCAGAGCGGCCGGCTCCACTCAGTCAGCGCCCCCCGGAGCAGTCGGCCCCACTCAGTCAGCGCCCCCAGAGCGGCCGGCCCCACGCAGTCAGCGCCCCCAGAGCGGCCGGCCCCACGCTGCCAGCGCCTCCAGAGCGGCCGGCCCCACGCTGCCAGCGCCCCCAGAGCGGCCGGTCCCACTCTAGTCAGCGCCCCCAGAGCAGTCGGCCCCACGCAGTCAGCGCCCCCAGAGCGGCCGGCCCCACGCAGTCAGCGCCCCCAGAGCGGCCGGCCCCACGCTGCTAGCGCCTCCAGAGCGGCCGGCCCCACGCTGCCAGCGCCCCCAGAGCGGCCGGCCCCACTCTAGTCAGCGCCCCCAGAGCAGTCGGCCCCACGCAGTCAGCGCCCCCAGAGCGGCCGGCCCCATGCAGTCAGCGCCCCCAGAGCGGCCGGCCCCATGCTGCCAGCGCCCCCAGAGCGGCCGGCCCCACTCTAGTCAGCGCCCCCAGAGCGGCCGGCGACCGCCGGGCGGCCCCACTCAGTCAGCGCCCCCAGAGCGGCCGGCGGCCCGGGTCCGGGTGTGACGCGCGCCGGGCGCCAGCGGCCGCGCTTCCGCGTCCGCAGGAGGCACGCGAGCGAAGGCAAGCGAAGGCCGCCAGGAGCCGCCAGGGAAGGCCTGCCGCTGGAGGCCGGAGCGGCGGTGTATGAAACACGGTTTTTGCGCACGCCGTGTTTATTGGCCGGCGCGTGCTGTGCGTAGCGATAATACAGAGCGCCTAACGATGACACGAAGCGAATAATGAGATTTGGTTGGCTGCCTCCTCCATTCTTCACGCCCGCCGCGACCAGGTGCTGCAAGCCCGCATTTCATTCCCGCGCGCCTGGCGGCTGAAGCGTATCTGGTATGTCGTCAATGATATGCATGACGGTAATTATGAAACTGCGTTCCGAACACCTGACGGCGGCGTCCCAACTACACTACGCACGGCAGAAAAAAACACGCGCAATACCCATGGCGGGCGGGATTCAAATCGCAAAATAATTACAGCTACGCACAAAATAACGACGACCATAAACCACACCAGCGTCGCGACCAGGCCTGTAACAGGGCACCACTCCCTTCAGCGCGATGTCAATCGTCACTGACGCCGCTTGTGACACCGACCGTCCCGCCGGCAGCCCGTGCGGTGACCCAGCTCCGCCCGCTGCCCCCCGCCCCGCCCGACCCGGCCCCCGCGCGCCACCTCCCCGGCCGGAGGGCGCCCGGTCGCGCGGCCGGAGGGGTCGCGGCGGGCGCGCCCGCTCCTCCTCACCTGACAGCGCCTCCCGGCACACGTTGCAGTAGGTCGGCCGGGCGTGCGACATGACGTGCCAGTTGTGCTGGCCCGACAGCAGCGAGTGAAGGTGGTCCATGCCCTGCCGGCACGGCCAGGCGCGTCTCAGCAGGCGGGGCAGGCGGCCAGGGACCACGGCAGGCGGGGGAACCGAGCCGGACACCTCCGCAGGCCGGGGCACATCAGCCGGGCAACTCCGCCGGTCGGGGGACACGAGCCGGCACCTCCGCAGGTCGGGGGACATCAGCCGGGCACCTCCGCCGGTCGGGGGACAGGCCGCTCGACACATCCTGCCAGACCGCTCACTGCACAGCACGGACACGTCGACCAGCGGGACACCCGCTACCGCGGTCCAGCGGCGAGCCTTCATGCAAACGACAAGCGGCACAACGTCCACACATGACAATTGAGACTGCGCCCAGCAGGCTCCCATCCGCAGCCTCCCGGGCTTGCATAACGGCGTTGCTTGAGACAAACCGGCGAGTGTGCCACGCCGGGCACGTCACAGTAGATGGGAGGTGGCGCCAGCTGACCCCACATCGACGCACGTGCTGTGTCAGGACCGCTCGTGCCCGACACGGCTTGGCCGCGTACCCATCCGCGGCGCCTCTCTCTCGCCGCACGTCGGAATGATAAAAATCATATCCCGTCGCACGTCGTAATAATAAGAATAATAATATCCCACCGCATGCCGGAATACCAATAATATCCCGTCGCGCGTCGGCAATGCAAGACGGCCCGGCGGGCGCGACGTCTTGCCGCGCCGCGAGTCGCTCCGTGTGTCCGCGTGTCACTCCGGGCGGCGGCGTCGTAGCCGCTGTTGCCGTCGGCTCCCGGCAGAGCCACGCGTCATCCGGCTCCGCCCACCTGAAGAGCGACCGGCGTCACCGCCTCCGGCCGCCACCTCGGCGATCGCCACCGGTTCGCCCGCCCTTTGGACCGCCTCCACCGGCAGAGGTGGTCCATTTCTCCCGCCTTAGACCGACGTGCAACCCGGCCGTGTGCCGGGAATTCCGTAGCAGCCCAGCCCCTGTGTGCTGGGAATCCCGCGGCGGCTCAGCCCCCGTGTGCCGGGAATCCCGGGGCAGCCCGGCCGGTCAAGGCCGAGGTCGAGGTCGGCGCCGGCGGGCGGTGGGCGGCGGCCCGCCCACCCCGGACCGCGGCAGGGGCGGGCCTGGACCGAAACGACCACGGTTCCGGCGCTGCCGCGGCCCGCAGGGAGGCCGGCTGGCTGGCTGGCGCGTCTGGTGCGCTGCAGCCGATCGTGCAGGGCTTGCAAAAGCGCAATCAGCGGAATAATGGCGCGGCGAGGGGCGACGGGCGGCCCCCCATACAAATGCGTCTGATCGCGTCCGGCTCAAAAGAGGCGAGCAAGGGGTTTTAACCATGACCTCAACAGTTCCCATTGAAACAGACAAGCGAGAAAATCCAGCGCGTGAAATATTGGATGTTGCGGATTCTAGCCCCAGGACTGAACCGCCAAATAAAGTCACTGGCCGCGATCCGAATAATGGACCATTTAATCTCACCACTGACGCCAAGTGAGGACTTTTCGACGCCGGAGGCCTCATGAATGCCAAGTGGCCACCCCATCACCATTTCAATGGGATCATGCGTTCTCCGCGACGAGGCAGTCCAACCCCGTTTGCCGTTTCTGCGAAATCCGACCCACTATGGAAGACAAATTTTACATGATATTAACTGCAGTGCTGTTTTTGAGCGCGCCATGCATACCCCTACTTCTTTGTAGAACTTATAAAATGAAGGCGAATATAATGCCTGCAGGTAATGCGACATTCGACCGCCAATAACCCGACCCCCGCTGGCGGCAGCCCTCTGAAATCTTGCATTTTCCTCATCAGCGTGTGAAGACGATTAAAAAGCACACCTCTTGCCCAGATGACGTTCCTGCGTGTGCTGCGGGCGTGAGCAAACTTGTCCCCATAGGGTCCGCAACAGCAGCGGTTGGGTCCCTGTCAGTGGAGCAGCGAATAATGTTGGCTGCCGCGAGTTAATCGATGGCCAATCCGCTCGTCGCGAAGAGACGGATTAAGTGAAAACCAGAACAGATCAGCCAGTGGAAACCACACACGATTGAGTGATGACGCTAGAAAACAGTTCCTGAGCCGTGGTACATCCGTGGTACTGCACAAATGGCAGCGCATTAAACTTCAACAACGCAATACAGTTTGCCAACCAACCCCTCGGAATTGGCAACGGTCGGAAATGAAGCCTCAAACTCAAAAAAAGACACTCAAATAAAAGGGAACGTCCACCCGGGGGAACGCAGAATGTGTCGACCGCCTCATGGCTAAGGTCTTTCTTGACCTGCAAGAGCTGTGCAGGACTAAACTTGGCTCCATGAGCAGGTCATTCTGACGCTCAAAGCATCGTTGTTCATGATATCGAATTCAACCTTTTGGAGAAGCAGCATGGAGAGGCGAGAACCCGCAAGTCGGGGAAAACTGGACGCTGTAAATCATCACGACTGTCATCACACCACCCGATTCTCAAGCGAGACGCAGCTGTCGTGCTGTTATGAAACCTGGACCCCTACGCTCTGCGATGACATGCAGCTAACCACCAAGCAGATGACGCCCAGGATCATGGAGGCGGTCACAATGGCGGGCGGTGCCAAGGGGAACACGCGTTCTTCCCAAGAATCCTCTCATCTCGTTTGACATGGCCTACCGAGTTCAAATGGACCCAGTGTCCTGTCGAGCTGAGCTACACCATGACTGCCATCAAGAGTGAAAACTAGTCCACGGAGGAGTGGGCCCCACTTGAATGAGTACGTGTTCTCCCCCGTTCGTCGGCTGCTCCGCTGTCAGCAGCTGAACCAGCCTGTTCACAGTGCCGTCGGGGGCAACACCACGAACGTGGTGTGGCAGGAAACACTGCCACAAAGATCGTTTGGCGCAGGAAAACAGCCGCATCAGGATCGCGGCGGCCACTGGCACTCAGCCTGCGCTTGCCCATCTCCACATCACGTCCAGTTCGGTCCCGGTCACCCGGCGCTCGACCCGTCTCATGCCGGGCGTGCCCGAGCCGGACAACGGACCGCAGAGCTATACCCCGATGGAGCACGTGACCCTGCTGACTGGACGGCCGACCAGGCGACCTCTCGGTAGGGCGGGGAGTTCTGTTTCGCGTCAGCGGCCCCGAGTGGGTAATTCGAGACTGGTGTGCTAAGTACGTTGCACGGCCACTGGTTGCTTTGAAATTGAACGTCTGGTGACGAGGCGTTTTTAAAATTGTGCTAAGAGTTTTGCCCCACAAATTATTTGCATCAGAATTAATCGGCAACTTTCCTTGGAAAGTGTGCAAGTCTTAAATGTGAAACTGGAACATTGAAGGGTGAACAGGATTATCTGCGACACAAACCAACTCAATTTGCGATTTATAAGTGTCTCAAATAGTGACATAGCCGAACATGTGTCTTCACTACCCGGGCATCGCCGAGTGTACCAGCCGGTTTAAAGATTGCGACGGAATCCACCAAAAGAACACCGAGATAGCTCGAACCGTCATACCATTTCAATGCACCAAATCGGCTTAACAACGCCTTCCATTACACCGATTAAATTTACAGTACGTTCCATGCCAAACCTTTTATTTCGAATGTGTGCCTGCATCACCCGAGGAGCCAACTAACTCAAGATGAGGTCTCTTGGAACAAGACAAGTTACTTCTATGAAATCAACTGCTTCTCCAGCTTGGGAGGTTTAAGAGAATGAAGCGCTTGGTGCACTGCTCAGCTGACTGTGTTCCGGACTGGAGCATCACCTAGGTGACGGCACCTCATGCTTTCTGCACCCCACATTAACTACTATTATTGACGAATGCAACACACTGTCATATTCAACCACATACATCCTGCCCCCCCTCCCCCCCCAAAAAAAACAGAAGCTTTCGGAAGCGTCATTGAGCCAGCCCTGAAACACAGCACTGCCGATGCATCAGCGATACACATTACTGGAAATTCTCGAAGGTTGATAATACCGATCCGACAACGATGGTAATTCCCCAGCGAAAGCTTACCTTAATCCCGTGGCGCACACCGCATCTCTGGCCATAAAGACTCTCTGAGAACAAATCTAGGGCCACGTCGACGAGGACCGCCTTCCAGCACGATGTCGGCCTACGAAGAAAGCACGACTTCGACACCATTATAACGAATGGAACACAGGTGGAGTTTAGCCACGTCAGTGAACAAAAATCAACTGACATCCATTAGGCCGCGGACAGCTTGTCAGTTCTCTGACGTTTCTGCTGATTGGTGATAGCGCATCCGAAACTTCCAGGTCGGCGCGGGCACCCCGTTCCATTAGCGTGAGCTCGCGATCGCTTAAAACGTTCGCAACGGAACCGCAACGCGACGTGATTTCGTCCGCGGCTCAGCTCGGGGTCCGCCAAATAACGCGCAGCGTGGCATGGGAGGTCGTCGCCAAGCAACGAGCACCGTGACGAAGGCTGGAGTTTCAAGCATTACTGTGCGAGTGTTTCACAACAGACTGTGATATCTGGATGCGCTTGCTTTCGCTGTTACTCTTACGGTTGCTGGAACTACACACTCCGTGGAGTTAGTTCATTCGCTACCCGACACACGCTCAGTGGAGTGCATCTGCTCCTGGCACCGGCTACTTGAGCTCGATACCTATGGTGTGACTGAAACCAATGTGTTTGCGATGAAACCAATGTGGGAAGTGCTTTTAATGGTAATTCAACATGCACGGGGGCATTGGTGTAGCATTCATGCTCATTCGTACATAATATTGGTTTAAAATTGGCTGGTTACGAGCCCACGCCAAGCATGGTAATCGTCATCAACAAAATGATTAATTTGCAATTATATACAGTTTTCAGATAGCGATCGAAGTAAATATTTCGATCAGTCACAATGAGTCTGGTTATATATCTCAGGGGAGTTACGATGGCTCAGTCCCTCTTCTGACGATGATGATTGGGGTGTTAAGCGCGCCTGACTTCTGAGGACACTTCGTGCCCCTAATAGCTAGGGGCTACCGAGGTGTATAAATGGCCGCAAGTCCCACGTTCGTCAAGAATGGCAACAGCTGTCCG